AAGCTGGTGGGATCGAGGCGACCGGCCGTGACACTGAGTGACTGCTGATGCTTGCGCTGAGCCAGCGCGTCAACTTCTTGATTAATCCTTAATTGATGACTGCATGGTCTCCACCTCAGCAACAGGGCGTGCGTGCCCATGCACCAGCATGCATGCATGCATGCTTGTTGCGCCCGCGCACGCATCTTCAGCACCATATATGAGCGCGGCGCAGGTCTGCGCGGTCGGTCGCTGCGTACCTCTCGGCTCCACGGCGCGAGAGCTCGATCTGCAGCAGGCACGACTCATCACGAGTCATCAGAGGCCAGAGTGCGATCGATCGAGAGACGAGCCAGCTGCAGCATATGGTCCTCGCGCGCGTGATACTTGAAGCTCATGCACTCGTGGCTCACACTCCATCATACCACTCATCACATATTTCTTGACGCCTGCGGCGTCGTGGTCCAAATGAAATGTGAACAGCCAGCAGCGCCACTCCACGGCACAGCCCGTGCGAAGTCAGAGTGTGCATCAGCATGCATGATGGTGTGCATGCGCCTCGCGGCGGTACCGCGAGACGTCCTCTTACCCACCTTCGATGCCACGCTCACGCACAAGATGCGTCGATCGTGATCGAGCGTGCACCGCCACGCGTGTCGGTCGACGACGGCTTCCGGATCCACATCAAGGTGTGGATACAAAGTGAGTGCGAATGTTGACCCGGTGATGGACGGATGCTGGCTACGATGGATGTGATCCCTCAATCATTCACTGTCTTCACGATTTGACTTTGGTCACGATTGCTTGGGTTAATTGCGAGTTGTGTAGACTCCGAGCGCCCACTCTTCTTCGACGACCCGCGTGCATGCTGCTGGCCGCTCATGAGTTTCGCAATCAATCAAGTCACGTCACGTCAACAGTCGCTCAGTCATGCCATTCACGATTCGGGTTGCGAGCGCTTCCATTTCAGTCCGTGCCTGCCATGGCCCCAAAGCTTGCTCATTTATGACAGGCACGCTTTGCTCTGCCATCATTCCATGGTAGACAGGCCATCCGCCAAATGGTGAATTGAGCATGGGCTCTTTCTCATGCTCATCGATCAGAGCCAGCACTCCTTCGGCTGCTAAGCGGCTTGTTCAGCTGCGCGATGAGGTCCAACGTCAGCGTCTGCAAGGCTGCTCCTCTCATACCCTCATCTCACCGGATGACATTCATGATGATCGCCAAGGCTCTTCGGTCGTGGTTGCAAGAATGAGACGAGGTCAGTCAAAAAGTATGCTTCGAGGCAAGCACGGAATGATCGTGGCTCAGGCCTCGCTCTGTGCGAGACATTTCATCATAATAATCTCATCCTGCTTCGGATCACGTTGGTGTCCTGCTGAGCTGCAAGTCGAAATCAACCGACAAGGAATGAAACGGCTGTTAACAAGCCCCATGTACGCTGGATCCTCTCATCTTCGACGCAGACGGAGAGGGAGTACCGGCCCGTGCTGACCTTGACAGCAAGCACAGCGCCCGTCAAGACTTCAATCGTGAATCCGAATGATTTGTACAGAAGCTCGCTGCGCCCAAGCGGCCGAGGCGTTCCCGACTGACTCACCAAACGGGGGGCCTATACTCTCGATCGCCAAAGATTCGCACCAAAGCGCGGCCTCATGTCCGAGACTTGTGTTTAGAGTGCTCTCAGAGACCTGGTGTCGATTTCTGGCCTGGACTGGCAGGATTTGTTCAGAGTCTCGAGTATGAGTCTCGAGCATCCTTGCGAGATGCCTCAAGATCGCCGGGTCGACAGCACTCAGAGTCAGAGTCAGGGTCAGAGTCAGACTTATGATTCGATCGGTCTTAATTAGGTAGAATTACAGCTGTCAGTCACAAGTGTTACGGGTCGTCAGTCTCAAAATCATCAAGACTTCGAATCAAGAATAATCAGACAGAGACAGATTTTGAATCTCGAATGTGAATCGTGTACCTATCATGCTGGCCAAGCCGCATATACAATATGCGCCTCAGGGGTAAACGCATCGCAGCACGCGCCAATCAAGAATGCTCAGCGCTTGCTGCGCTTGTGCCTGCGTAGTGTTGGATCGCGACATTAAGCAGTGAAGAGGCTGTGCATGAATCTGCGCGCGGCATAGCTGAGCGCAATGCCTGCTTGGTGCACCCCGACTTGAATTGGTTTGAAGGGGCCAAGCGCAGAGGCGGATTTGACCCTGTCAGACTGCGCGCGCGCCCGCGCTGCACAACCCGACCCTGGTCTATGTATAATATCAAGTGAATATACACAAGGCCCTACCCGCGAGGCGGCTCCCGAAAATCAAGCTTACCGCTTACACCGGGAGACTTACGACTGCTGGTTCATCAGGCGAGACAAGGATGAGGACAACAACCACACATTTCCTTTTAGCCTCCTTCCAAGAGCAGGCTTGTTGAAGCCCTGTCAAACAATATAGGCTCAACATCCTTCCTCTCTTATACTGAACGAGTTTGTTGCGCGCAGGTTGAGCGGCTTGCTCCCTGCCACGAACAGTCACGAGTTCCGATCATCATATCACCGCTCGGCGGCGGTCCGCTTCCAACACACGCACGATTGACTACATTCCCTATCAACAGGCGTCACCTCCGTCCTCTCCGCCTCTCTCAACTCCTCTGTCAGTGCTATCATATTACGATCCAGACTGGCTGGTGCAACAGCATTCATTAAATTTTGTCTTCTGCAATCAAGCCCGCGAGACCACCCAGTCAATACCACTCTAGGCGCGTACAGGAGGAAGCCCTGGTCGCGAGCGCGCGCTCGTGCGGTGCTCATTTGCGACTGTCAGAGATACCCGTATCATACTCTTCGCACAAGTGGAATCGGCACGAGGATACAATTAGGCCTCCTTGAGGCTATATGCTCTCAATTCCGATTCCGAGCCCGGCACTGCTTTGTTCGAGTCGATGGAGTCCGGGGTCTGCGCGTCGGTCTCAAGCAGCGGCGCTACTTCTCAGCAAGCATCTTTGCGTGCCGCAAAACGTTCTAACGATTGTACTGCCGTCCTGCAAGTGAACTCCCTGAACGCGCACCCAGGGCCCGAACCAGCGCCAATACCACCCAAGCAAAACAACCTTCGACACCATCCAAAACGACCCCCTGCCCTTCATTTGTCGGGCTCATCCGCTCACAATAGCGGCTTTCCTCTCTGCTCCTCGTCCACAACATCACCAAGAAGCTGCCACTCGAGCCACTCTGCCATGCATGCATCCAGTGTTGGCAGTAGCAGCAGCCGTCCGTCCAGCGTTGCAAGCAACTCCTCAGGTCACAGCAGTCAAGGTTATGCACAGGGCCAATTGGCTGCTCAACCCAGCCTGTTGTCCCCTACGCTAGCATCTGCTTTAGGTATCAACGTTGCGGGCTCATCCAAGAGTGGTCGGCCTGGCAGTGCTGGCGGGGCGTCAAAGTCGCGGAATGGGGTTGCGCGACCATCCTTGACGGCCGATGGTTGGTCTCGGCGTCCCAGCTTGCCCAACGTGCCCAGCATGATCAACCGCGTGAGCATGATCAGCATCGCCTCTTTCGAGAGCCTACCCGAAGGCGAGCCCGTCAACTTCGCGGCGTCACCATTGAGCGTTACATCAGCGACCGATGCTCCTCACGAAGATCTCTCCGCATCGACTAGCACAGCGACCGATTCTCCAACGCTCAGCCAAGGAGACTCGTGGCAGTCACCTTCATCACCTACAGATGAGGCGTCCGTGGGCTCGATCTCGATGAACAGGTCCTCTAGCACAGCCAGTCGACCGGGCCATGCGCTTCAACGAAGCGCCACGGATCCTACTCACTCGATGATTGCTTTTGAGGGAATGATGCGGAGGCGACACGCCATTGCCATGGAATTGTTGGAGACCGAAAGGGTCTTCATAGCGAGTTTGAAGCTGATCAACGAAGTGAGTCAGATGTAGAGCTGCCGAGCCTTTCCGGACTGCTTGACTAACAGTGCTTTCACGCCCGGGCAGTCGTACTATCAGCCTCTTATGGCTCTCAGCAAGGGTCTGACTGCGCCAGTTGGAGTCACGAGTGCAGCACCAGTGCTTTCTCGTCAAGCGTTGAACGAGATCTTCTCCAACTTTAGCGACATTCTCAGTCTCAATTCTGAGCTCTTCTCTAGGCTCGATGATCGCCTCTCAGGTAGAGCGAGGCAGCCGCCTCCGTCTCGTCCAGCTTCAGTCGCGAGCCCAACGAGCCCCCGAGATGCTGCTCCGAGCTCAGCGAAAGCTGGCTCGACAAATGCGGGACGACTAGACCCGTGGCATGCAGAAACGGACACAATCGGCGATACTCTAGTGCCTATCGTGCCATATTTGAAAATGTACTCCTTGTACGTCAAGAATTTCAGTGCGGCCATGGCACGGATAGAGACGGAACGTAAAGCAAACGACGCTTTCAATCGTTTCTTGAAGGACACGGAAAGAGCTACATGGGGCAAGGCGAGCGCAAGCGGCGGATTTGGCTTCGGTCTTGGATTTCAGGCGCACCTCTTGACGATTGTGCAACGCATCCCTCGGTACAAAATGATGGTGGGCGATCTGGTCAAGTATACTCCAAGCAATCACCGAGATTACCCAGATCTCTTGAAGGCCTTTGGGGTCATCGACCAGGTGGCTGCCTACATCAACGAGAATGTCAGACAGCACGAGATGATCCTAGTCATGCTTGGCTTGCAACGCAGCCTGACTGGTCTGACCGAGCCCTTGATTGTTCCTGGGCGAGCTTTGCTCAAACGGGGCACGCTGCTCAAGGCTTGCAGAAAGAACATTCAGCCGAGGGAATTCTTTCTGTTTACGGACTGTTTGGTGTATGCCAGTCCTGTTGGCGGCGGTCTAGAGAGTGCCTCCGCAGCCTGGACTGCACTCGCCAGGGGCGGAGGACTGGGAGTGTACGGAGGCAGCGTGCAAGACACGGGGTCTCCTTCAGCACCGAACAGTCCACGCACCATAGTCGACAAATTGCCGCTCGCGCCTATCTCTGCAGACGCCATCGACACCGCATCGCGCTCGCGCACGTCATCAGCCGACGCTGTACTGGCCAATGGTCGACCTTTATCGGTCAGCCTTCAGGGGTTCCAGCTGCAATTTCGGGCCAAATTTCCTTTGCAAGACTGCACGGTGGTAGGCGTGGAGAAGGCAACCTCGCCTTTCCATCAAGGTCTGCGTCACTCCATCGAAATTCGCACGCCTGACAAAAGCTTTGCAGTGTACGCGGAGAGTGCAGAGGCGAAGGAGACCTGGTTATCGACTATACGCGACGCTCGCGATGACCTCATGACGGCCAGGCGCACTTTGCAAGCGGAGGAAGACACCTCGGAGATACTGCGGGAGAGAAGGCGCAGCCTGTACGGCAGAGCGGGCCCCAGCTATTGTACCCCTCAACAGGCCAGAAGAATATCAGCTCCCAGCACTGGCTGGTCGTTCACAGGCAACACTTCAGCAGATACCTCTGGGCGCCCAACAAGTCCACTCGCTTCCTCCGCATCGGTATCAGCTGACTGGCATGGCGCATTTGGCCCAAAGTCGGAAAGCGGCAACTCTCTAGCGACTCTGCTTTCGAGCGGATGTCCTTCAAGCGATGCTGGTATAACGGCCAGATCTAGGACTGGTCTCCGAGTTCTCGAGGACTACAATGCTCCGGTCTGGGTACCAGACTCGAGCGCTGACAAGTGCATCATTTGTTCAGAGGCCTTTGGGATGTGGCGACGCAAGCACCACTGTCGTCTGTGCGGGCAAGTTGTGTGCTGGGCCTGCAGTCAGCGCTCCTTCCTGATCGCTCGATATGAGGACGATGCAGGAGAGGCAGAAAAGCCTGCGCGTGCTTGTGACGCTTGCTACGACTCGGTATTCCCTGCCGAAGAAGAGCACAGCTCTCCACAAATGGGTACAGCTGCGGTGGTGCTACCTGAGCCAAGTCCGGCTGCTCAGTCTGACACAAGCAGGTCGACCGATTTCTCCACCTCCGACTCTGCGACTCCTGATTACCCCGCAACGCCTGCTGAACATGGCCCCTCGAACGGTGTGGACTCCGGCCAAATCTCTCACATTGCCATACACGTGCAAGACGAGAATGAGGTAGCGGCGGAGGCTGAAAATGAGGGCAGCAAGCCCTCTCGATCGGCAGCAACTCGGCCACAGAAGATATGGGGCGCGCAGGGGCGGCCGTCGACGCCATCGTGGTCTCAGGTCCAAACATCAGAGGATGCTGGTCACCTCACTTCACATCAGGACCGCTCTGACGAGCCGAGGCGAACTACCCCACCGAGCCGTCGAGGACCCGCTTTGCAGCTTCAGCGCGCTTCTGGGGCTGGACCCCAACTCTTCAAAGGCGGCTTGACACCGCAAGTACAAGCTGCTACTTCTGGTTCTGGAACGTTTCGACTTGTCACGCCACGTCTGACGACACCAGAAGCTGAGATGCCCCCTAGATCTAGGCACGGTGCACAAGGCGAGGGTGATGGAAGTACTCGCATTGGGGATGGGGGATCCTACTTTGCTGGCGCGGTCTCCGAAGATCACCTGGGTGACATGCCTCCTCCCATTCCAAGAGCCCGCAAGAAGCCGCTCAGTGCGGCTGCTCGACTTAGCACCTTTTATGGCGTCAGTCCAGCAAGTATGCCGAGTATTGCGAAGAAGTCACCGCTCGACTCGCCTGCTCCGCCATGAATGAAGAGCGAAGAGCTCCGACGATCTTACTTGGGTCATTGACACTGTCTTTGACCGGCAAAGGACGATCCTCCGGATATTGCTTTGTGTATTGACCCTCGCGCAAGGCTCGCAAAACGCCCTTTGAAGGTCACGATTTGTTATTATTACACGCTGTACCAATCAATCCATAGATACCCGACCAAATCGCCATGATGAGTAATGCGACGTTTTTCAGCCTCCTTGTTGATGTTGCACTCCAAACAGATTGTCATTCAAACAGCGACATTGTTGATGACTCCTTGATATGCCCGGAAGAGCAGTCTGGCCAGGTGTGGAATGTCGACAATGCATCAGTGCTCATTGCTAGCCAAAGATCTTTTGGCCGGCTCTCTTCCTCAAGCCATGAGCAATTTGTGCGTGAGCTCTTCTCTGCACTGTGGTGGCAAGATGTTCAGATTTGTTGCTGTCACATGGCCAGCAAGTGCAAGCTGAGATGATGTAGATTTGACCTCTTTGAAAGAGTTGTGCGTCCCGCAGTTGTGTGTAGTGAGGCGGTCCCGAGTCTTTTGCTTGATGCGTTTGCAAGGTGGAGGCACAGACGCAGCAAGGGGCTCCAATGAGGACGACGGGACAGGTACTTGTAGTGAAGACGATGGTACGGTGGCCAAGACCGCGGTCGACGCAGTCGCAAGAACGGGCATCGATGATGATGACGAGGTGGCTTTGAGCGATCGCGGTGCGGTGGGCGGGGAGTGTGCGTGCGTAGCCATCAGTGGCGAGCACATGTATGTGCATGTGAGACTGAAGACTTACACTCGCTGCCTACGAACAATCAGAAGCTGCAGTGCTCCTGTCAGCGAACGGCTCAGCACTTGGAGATCTGGATGTCAACAAGGTCGTCGAGGTGAGAGAGGGCGTAAGCGATGAGAGGCGGGAGAGGAAAATCTTTTTCTGTGGCATCAAGCAGTTTTCCTGATTGTTATTTCTCTTCTCCAAGCCACGCCCCACCACTCACTTACCTTGGGCGAATTTCCTCAATCTGGCTGGACCCCAAGCGCCCAGGTGGACGAAATCTTCAGAAGTTTTTTTTTTCTTTGCCTCTTGACATGTCCTGCTCTCTCACGTCAGGAGCTCGGAGGAGATTGTATCGCAAGTGAGTGGGCGTGATGAAGGATTGCAAAGCCATTCGATCGAACGTCTCAAGAACGAAAGTTTTGCTCCTCGAGTCGAAGCTGCTCACTCAGACTCTTGACTGCTCTTGCACCACCTGCTCCATGACCCGCAGTCCGAGTGGGCGGTCGACGTCTCAGCCGAAGCGCAGCTCATGCGACCGGAGCGTCCACGAGTGCGTGAGTCAGGAGAGAGACCGCGCAGTGACAGCGAGGAAATGATCGTACGCTTGCCAAACATCCTTCCCTCCTGTGATGCGCGGTTCTATACAGATGCGAGCGAGGCGAGAAAGTGGCTGCGCAGCCCAAAATGCGGTGGGTGGGCATCAGAGGCCGGCAGCAAGTCTGATGATTACCCTTCACCTTCTTCAAGCGCTCGAATCAAACAGGTGAAAGCTGAAGAGGAAGAGCCAAAGCACCATAGGGACCACGAGGAGAAGCATGAACAAGGCAGGCATCTGCTATACGAGCGCCAAGCCCATCCAAGTCGAGATTCCGTCCACTTTGACAAGCGAAGGTCGGAAGGGATGGGACGCACGAAGGTCATTCAGCAACCACCAACCAAATTGGGAGTGTGAAGCGCCAACTGGGCCCGAATCGCCTAAGAAATTGCTCGTTCGACCCTTGACCTGGTCGCTCGCTCGGAACTCGCCTGTGCGTCTAAGAATGCTCGTTGACATGTGACAGTG